TGAAACGCAGCGTTACAACGTATGCATATATAATTGGTGGAACCATTCTTTTTACATTTGTGGTTGCTCTCCGCTATTGTGGTGTTGAGCACTGTTCAAACCTGGGTTTGCCCACTTATACGTGGACATGTATATGCGTGAGGTGGCATGCCCTTCTTCTTGCTCATGTATACACTATGCTAAGCTCTTCCATCTTCCACCGTGAGTGAACAAAGACCACACTACTATTGTGATCTGTATCTTTCTGTTGTGTGTGGGTGTGTCTGCGGTGTACGCAGAGGCCAGCTAGCTGGCGAAAACAGTCTAAGACGACTGCTCAGGGAACCTTCAATATAGGGTCGCTGTTACCAGGTGGTCTCCTTGTCCAGGGTCAATTGACTGGAAATAGCATCTCTTGGGCCTTGCACTTGTAACACCAGTAGCGATTAGCTTGCTTGACACGTCATTCCAGCTCGACGCTGTAGTGGTGACTGTTCAGCAACTAACCTGTCCGCACAACAACGTTTGCCGATTTCACGGCGATCTCTCTCACTTACCAATCACGCTACCAGGGTTTCCATGGAGAGTGTTCCTGAAGTTTACAGTTGTGAGTCGCGACTTTAGAGTGCTCCCGTCGATTTCGACGGGTGTTGACAGCTCCGCACTCAAGCATTCATGCTGAGTGCTCCCTAGATCGTCGAACTCTGAATTTTGGGCAAAATGCCGACAGGACAGGGAAATCAAATCCCGCAAAAAAACCGGGGTCATCATACAAAAAGGTCGCGTACTCGATCGATCTCTTCGCGTGAATAAAAAAAACGTGATTTGTGCTGCAATTCAAGTTCTTGTCAAAATTTGAGAATGGACGCGGCTGATGCACTTGCTTTGCTTGATGACCTTGACGAGGAGGGAGCTCCTTTAGTTTCAGTGAGCGACAGGTAAGGGTTGGACGATCTGTTGGATGAGGGAGACATTCTCTCTTCAGACGAGGAAGACCAACTTGACGCAGAACTAGTTTCTCCTGGTGAAAACTGGAGCGATGAAGATTACAGCGCGAGTGATGCACTCTCGTCTTCTGGTGATGATGAGTCGAGAAGTTCATCAGCTGATCATCAGAAAGAGCTGGCTGGTAATGCTCGCGGCGGCAGGTGTCGTCGTGGCCATGGTCGTGGCGTTCCAGGTAGAAGACGCGCAGCAGCTAATGCAGCGCAACAGCAACAGCAAAATTTGCCTGGACGAGTTCTTGCGCAGGGACGTGGACGAGGGAGAGGACGTGGCGTGGTGCAGTGTATAGTCCACTGAAAGGAATCAACGATCCGGACGACGTTGGTCCAGCAAAGTTCCATGCGTTTGAGCCTGATTCCGAAGCTGGACTGAAACTGCCACCTGGTTTTGTGCCAGCATCAGAAGTCTCTTTTTTCAAGTTGTACTTCTGTGCTGAAATTGTTTCAAAGTTCAAGGGCTTCACGAATGCGTATGGGCATGCACATATCCATCAGAAGAGATCATATACCAACAAGAATGGAGAATGGACTGAGACCAGTCTTACAGAAATTTATCGTATTCTCAACATTCCTGGGCCTACTCCTCCACATGGCATGGCACCAGCTCCCACAGATCGAAGATTTCTGGAATACATCCTCTCTTCACAACGGCAACTACGCGCGCAAGATGATACCATCTTGCAGAAGGTTCAAGGCCCTGTTGTGTTTCCTGAAAATCGTTGACCATACATCAGAGGATCCTGGTGACCGCTTACGCAAAGTTCGCTACCTGTAGGATGCGTTTCGTGCTAAGGCTCACAGTCTCTTCAAGCCAGGCCAGCACATCGCAGTTGATGAGCGGATGATCCGGTGCAAAGGACGTAGCGTGATGCGCCAATACAAGCCAGTGGAGCCCACAAAATAGGGATTCAAGGCATTTGCAGCCTGCGACAGTGCCAGTTCTATTCTGTGATATTTTGAAATGTACACAGGGGAAGCCAATACGGAATATGGACTCCCACACGATGTAGTAATTTGGCTCGCCAATGGCCTGGAAGACCAGTAGCATGTTATCTTAACGGTATTTTTACATGTCTCGCTACATCACTTAAAGTCAAAACATCCACCTTATCGACAATGTATGTACCAACTGCCGTGGCTTCCCCAACGTCATTAAGCTAGCAAAACACCAAGACTTTCGAGTGCGTTGCAGAGCGTGGCAAAGATGCAGCAGGTCACCACGTCCAACTGGAACTGAATCAGCCGAAAGTCGTCTCCAACTACAACAGAGTGCTGGGTGGAGTTGATACCTTCGACCAAATGGCAGAAACGTACAGGATGCTCGGGAGGACCAGGAAGACTTGGAAAAGTATATTCTACGATATCGTAGACAGCCACAGGATGTTTGGCATCTGGTTAGCAGCATATCCAGGTAACACCACACGCTCAGCACGCAATCCGCACAACTCATTCCAGGAGCATCTTATCAGACAACATACCGGAATTGCAGTCGACGAACCTCCTCCCAATCGTTCCTTCTGAGGAGCTCCTGAAGAGCCACCAGCCAACCAGCCTGCAGCAGTGCTCATGCATACTGTGAAGTATGATGTGCAGAGAAAAAGATGTGCCTTTTGTGCCCAAGAGGGAAAAGAATTCCAGGTTGTCACGTACTGCAAAGTCTGCCAAGTGTTGCTGCACGTCGGTGAGCAAGACTGTTTCGATCAGTATCACTTGCATAAGTTGGTTAAAGTTCCCTTTGTTCTCGTCGACTAGTGTTTGCTGAACACTTGTTACTACTTCTCCTATCTTCTCCTGTCTTTTTAGTGCTGCACATTTTGTTGGTGCCAGCGACAAAAGTCGGGACTGTGTTCTTGTGCTGGATATAAAAGGTTTCGCATCAGTTTTGGCGACATATCTCCAGCCAATGCTCAAGTAGATGTGATTTTCGGATTCCTTGGTGTAATACCTTTCAGAAAACATACATGTTGCTATTTTGACAAAGTGAATGGTTTCTGAGGTATGATTCGTCCAGTGAAAACTGACGGAAATGTGTATATTGCAGGAAGTCAGTGGCCCTCTAAAGGGAGAAAACGCGTTGGGGTTTAAACTACCACGCGAGCAGTGAATTGAGGTGGGGCGAACAACACTTTGTTTTCTTTATTAATTTTGTCCTTTTCGCCTGGCGTGTTTTGTGCATGCCACTATCTTTCATTTCACCGAGTTGTACGGTTTACCGGGCTTTAGCACCTGCCGTGATTTTCCTTCGGTAACAGACACGATAATTTCCTTTTTTTTCCTTTTTTTGTTAGTTTCGCCCTGGTTTCTGTTCCATAATAATATTGTTCATTGAGTAGTTCACCCATTGTTATGTTCGTTTAATGATGACCGTAACAGGACAACTGTTCTAAACATTTCCTACTTTTACTTTTGTACCTCATAATAATTTTTATCTCTCTTACATGTATCATGCCTTGATCCAAGAGGGTGGTGGCGTTCCTGCGGATGCGGAAAACTGGGCCGTTGGCCGAGTCTCACGCGAACCGTGAATTTATTATTATTATTTTTTACATGTACTTTATAAGAAGAAATGAGGACCAACGAACAACAGGTTACGCGATAATGTCCAATAACATATATAAATGAAACCCTAGGCTCTCCACCCGAGTATCACGTGTAGTTTAGCTATGCATCCTCCCTGAATACTGGGTACCTCTGATGCTCACTGTCTGTCCACTTGTTTGCGATATTTAAGTTGCTGACTCCGAAACGCTTGTTCATAGTTTGCATAGATATACCAAATATACATGACGCACCGAAACAACGGGTGCAATGTTGTTGTTGTTGTTTGGCTTTATTTAAAGTGGAGTTCCAAAACAGGCCTAAACCTAATGACAATGGTCCCACTGATAATAAGAGAAAAGAAAAATATATAATAATAAGCGGGCAAACAGAACCAAGAAGAAGATACAACTGTAGTTAGATAACTAATATGAGCACGGCAGCAGGGGAAAAAAAGTCACAAGCACGGCAAACGGGAAGAAAGGAGTGAGTGAGTGAGTGAGAGAGAGAGAGAGAGAGAGAGAGAGAGAGAGAGAGAGAGAGAGAGAGAGAGAGAGAGAGAGAGGGAGAGAGAGAGAGGTAGTGAAGCAGATGAGTTCATCCTAGTTGACGGTACTGCCTAACAGAAAGGCCAGGCTTAGCGATTTGAAAGTGGAGCGCTTTCTTTTGAGGCGTGCTGTGTCTGGGAGCTGGTTCCACAGGATAGCTCCAGCATGGCTAATGCGCTTAGCTGAGGATGCAGTGGGGGAGACAGGAATGATGAGTAACTTGCTGCTCCCTCCTCGTGTTCGGAGAGAGGGACTACGGGTGAAAAAGCTTGCAAACAGAGTACTTGAAGATTTGTTCAGGCAGCGCCAAATGAATACAAGAATGTGCATGTGGGTGTATATGCTGAGGGTATGGGCATTCATGCGTTCAAGTAAGGGAGCCGTGTGAGTGCGAAAGGCTGCCCTGCACACCGAGCGAGCCGCATGTTTGAACAAACTATTTAGGTGCTTATCCTGATAAGACGATAAGAAAGGGGCATAGGCAGCAGATGCATAGTCAACTTCTGATAGTATAAAGGACCTGAAAAACTGAACACGGCAAGAAAAGGCAAACATGCTGCACTTTGATTTAGTAGCCCAATCTTAGCGGCAACGCGGCGTGCAACATGGCTTGTCATGGTGTTCCAGCTCATGTCTGAGTCGAAATGTAGGCCAAGACACTTGGCCGTTTTCACAACAGGCAGCGTTTGCCCATTACAAATGACATGCAGCTCAAGTGCTTGAGATGGGGATGGGGGAATAGGCAATATCTGTGTCTTTCTTTCATTAAGAATTTAACCACGGCCCTTCAGCCAGGTGGCAATGCGTGTAAGAATACAGTGCTCGTTTGAATGGGACCGAAGGATAATACCATTAACAGACGGTATAGCGATAGTAAATTCAACATAATGCTTTGAAATAACTACTTGATTGAGTTTTGGTGAGTGGCCTATCAGCAATTGATATTATTTGTAATGAAGCTGCGTGAGGCATTCTACAGAATTTTGAAGCGTGACAGTTTGAAAAAAGCGAAAATTCATGTAGTCCAGAACAATGCAAACATGCTAATCAGATCGTCATTCCGAGGCTCAGTAGCATACAGAGCAAGTTCACCAATAAAACGAAAGTAAAAAAAGTTTAAAAAAAGGTAAATCATCGTATCCGTTCCCGAAGGGAACTCACCAATAAAACGAGGTTACAACAAACTGCCAGGCCGAGTGCCTAACATGTGTATGACTAAGGTGGAGGAAAAGATCTGATTCTAGCAATACAGAACCAAGGAGAAACGTTTGCTGCTAAAACATGATCATCTGCAGATATTCTGTCACACACCCTGAGACAAGCTTTGCCAGGTTCCATCTTATGGGCAAGGCTGTGAACGGATAAACAAAACCGTCAATGTTGCAATGTTAAGATTTGATCGAAGTACGAACAATGCAAGGCTCCAAACATAAACAGTGTTGTTATCTTGGTTGTGGAAAAGATATGATCACAGGTATAACAACTCGCTTTGATTTGCCATTCCAGAAAAAACCTCATCTATACTAATACATGATTAGGCTGTTTACTACACAAATGTTATACCGCTGCACGGGGTGGATGTGCACGTCGTTCAGTGATTCGGGCGTATTGGGGCAGTGGGGGGGGGGGGGGGGGTGGTCGTGGCAGAGAGAGATTGAAACATGCCAATGAATTGATCACGGGTGGCAATGAACTAATGGTGGTGACCCGAAATCATATCGAAGGCGTTGATACGTCAACCCTGCTTTCTGTCATGAACGGGACCATCGTTGACGGCGGCATCATAGATGTGTTCGGCTTTGAATCCATCAGCAGTGTTCTGCAACACATTGATCATAGAGTTGACATAAATAAGGCGAAACTGAATCGTAAACGCAGTTCCTTTCTTTATGTTTAAATGTATGACTACTAATGAATAATAAAGTTCTTTTTCTCTCGTCGCTGCTCATATTGGCCTATACAGGCAGCTTGTGTATCAGCTTAGTTATATAGTTTTGCATTATTTTAATTTTTTCTGCTGTTAATTTGGGCTGCCTTTTGACTCACATGGTGCCCCTACGATCAGACTAGTTATGAGGTAATACATGCAGAAACCAGGCAGGCACAGTGGGTTGATCAAAGACCATGATTGAGGTACGAGAGGCACCTGGTTCAAGTCCTGCCTTGGAGTGGTTTTCTTCAGCCGTGCTGCACCCCACAGTCAACTGGGAACTTACGGCAAGGCACAAGGGGTACATAGATGCGGATAAAGGGAACTTTCTCGGCACTTGTGCCAGTGGTTGTGGGACTTATCCACTAACCCCCATCGTTAGGCACTGCAGCTGCCGCTAGGGTTTATTATTATTATTAGACACAATCTCATAGCATGTGACAAGCATAGTTAGTGCAGGGACAGAATCACCTGAGATAAGGGCGTTGAGCCAGCCACGGCAATAGTAAGCTAAAAAAACAAAGCAAATATGAATTAAAGCAGAAAATGAATGGAAAATTACAAAGAAAAACGATTAACAGAAGTGAGCACTATCAAAATTCGTGCATCACCCAGGTATTCGAGAATGTTCTTCGATAATAATTATTGCCGGGTGTTAGCGGCTGTCGTGAGTTTCCTTCGGGAGCTGGCAGGATAATTTCCGTTCATAATTATACCTGCAAATACATTGGACCAACGCTTTTCCTGGCCTCTGTCAACGACGCGCCAGGTGTTCTCGCTGACGGCGCCAGCTTGGAAGCCTATGCTGATGATACAACTTTGTACAGCTTAGTCACCTCCCAGCAGACCCCAACAGTCGCCGCGCAGTCACTGCAGGTGTCCGTTGACCGACTGCATGAGTGGGGTCGTACATGGAAAGTGATGTTTGAACCGACCAAATCCCAGGCCATGACAGCCACCCTCAGACGCACCGGCTTAGATCTTCCCCAACTCCTGTTTGGTTGCACACTGGTGTTGTTGTTGTTGTTGTTGTGTTTATTTTAATTCGCAAACCAAACGGGCAGATCTGCCCAATGAAAAGGTGGCGAATGCAGATAGAAAGCAGTAATAAATGAAATTGGGGACTGATGTAATTAGGATAGAGGTGGAGAAAAACTAAGCCAGCTGATCATCAAACAGGACGTCTGGTACTCTAGGTACTAAGGCCAGTAAGTGTGTGCGGGATCATGCTGGCGCGGAACTGGCGGAGCGTGGAGATGGCACGTATATCGCTGGGTAATGTGTTCCACAGCTGGGCGCCCCGGAACGCGAGGCAACCCTTGCCGAACCTGGTGGAAACTGGCGGTTGGCGCAGACCCATGGTGGAGTGCAACCTAGTTGGGCCAGCTGCCGAAGGAACTAGGAGGGCTTGCAGTTCAGAACTTGCGTGCTCATTCCGAGACCTCCAGACCAGAATGATGAACTTCTGCCTGAATATCTCGGATACTCTGTAGGTGTCCAATTGCAGCAGGAGGGTACGCGCGGAGGTGTGATGCGAGAGTCCGAAAACCGCCCTTGCCGCCCGATTCTGCATGACTTGTAGCCGATCCAATTGGTTGGCAGTAAGAAGCGGGGAAAACGCATTGGATCCGTACACCAGGTCAGACATGATGATAGCTTTAAAGTAGAGAACTCGGCTCTGATGAGTCAAGCAGCGACGCAACCTCCATAGTGCTCCGATCCTCTGGGCCAGTCGAGCGGTGCAGCGATCAACATGGGGCGTCCATGACAGATCCGGGTCGAGGAGCACTCCAAGATACCTGGCCGCAGTAACGACAGGAATCGGCGTTTCATGACAGTTTACATTGATCGTATGCTGGGGCTGCTGAGGCTGCCTGTTGGGGTATACAGGGATCACGTGGCTCTTGGCTGCATTCAAAATGAGACCACGGGTCTGCAAGCAGTCAGCAAGTGCAGAAACCGAGGCCGATAGCGTAGCAGATACCGTGTCCAGGGATGTGCTGCTGCTGATCAGCGCAATGTCATCGGCAAATTGAACTGATGAAGACTGGTTAGCTATGGTTGGAACTTCGCGGGTGTAGATACTGAAAAGGATCGGTCCTAGAACAGAACCTTGTGGCACGCCACAGGATGGTGCAGAAATGGCACTCTGATCCCGTCCAATACAGATACGCTCAGTACGGCCCGACAGATAGGCGGAAAACCACTTTAGGGCTGTCCCTGTTATGCCGATATCGAATAGGTCCTGGAGTAGCCGTTCAAGACGAACCTTGTCGAATGCCTTTGACATATCTAGAAGGCATATGCCAGTACACAAACGCTTGTCCCGTGCACTAAGAATACGATTTAGCATAAGTACCAGGGCATCCTCCGTTGAGTGGCCTGCGCGGAATGCAAACTGAGTCGTGGGGAGGGTACCAGATATGTCCAGAAACTGGGCTAGCTTCTTTTGTACGACTTTCTCCAAGAGTTTTGATAATATGGGAAGTAGGGACACTGGACGGAAGTTAGTGGGAATAGACGGGTCCCCGGCTTTGAACAGCGGGATAACGTGTGCGAGTTTGAAGGCTGTGGGGACAGTGCCATTGACAAGCGAGGCATTAAACAACGTGGCCACGGACGCAGCTAGGATATCGGTGCCCGAGACAACCACCATCACCCTCCTTGGTGTGAAGGTGGACGCAAAGTTGACCTTCAGCGATCACCTACGCCCCGTAGCCACCCGTGCACGCCAACGGCTTGGGGTCCTAAACAGGGCCGCCCACATACTCATCCCCGCCGGCCGGACGACCGTATACAAGGCGTTCGTACGACCAGTCATGGAGTATGCGCCTCTTGTATGGATGGGAGCTGCGCAGAGTCACCTCCAGCGTCTGAACAATGTTCAGCGCCGCGCGCTTCATGCTATCGGCCCTTGGGCACACCTACCCAGCCTGGCCATCCGCCGCACTGTTGCCTCGCTTGCCTGCCTGTACAAGCTGCACTACTTGCCTGGTCCTCCGCAGCTGCTCTCTGTGTTGCCACCGCGCCAAATCATCTCTACCAACCCCAGAACTCGCAGCGAGCACGGTGCTGTCAGTGGCCATGACCACCAGCTCCAACACCAGCTGCCTGCATCTGCCCCGCTGGCACTGAAGCGCTCGTTCCCACACTGCAGCATCAGCGATTGGAACTCCCTCCCTGCCGCTCTCCTATCCCAGCCTCCCCACAGCAAGAGAATGCAATCATTCAAAACGAATGTTTACCGCCATCTTCGCAGCACAATGTGGCTCTGGGCAGTCGATTCCCTATGAATAGTATGACGCTAAGACAGTTTCTTCCCCACAATCGCTCGTGTTAAGCCTTGGTTTTTGCATCTTTCTCACCTGTACAGCCCTATCTTCTTGTCTTTTTTCATTGTTTTTGGTGCGTGTTTTTGGCCGTGACGCCGAGACCTCAGGTCTGCGTCTCGGTGTAGCGCCTGCTCATTAGTTGTCACGTTTGTCCTAGTCGCCGTACCATTGTCTTTCCTTATTCTTTTCGAGCTGGTTATGTGAACGTAGTAAAAAAAAACAAAAAAAAACATACGAATAACTCGGATGGTGAACCAATTAAATAATGGTGAAAAAAGGAGGACAAAATGTTACAAAAAGACTCGATACGAGCGCCAAGGATTAAAATTCAGAAAGAGGACCAAAAGTTTACAAACAAAAGTAAACATTCCTCATTTCAGTGTGTTCCGCAAAGATCGGGAAGGAAGGCAAGGAGGCGGTGTTGCCTTCTACTGTCATACGTCCTTGCAAGTCCGTCGAAGACGTGACCTCGAGTGTGAGCTGGAGATGCTGTGGCTGGAGATTCTAGCCCCAGGTCGACCAGGCAATGAGACGGTCTTACTGGGCTGCTGCTATCGACCACCTAGTGAATCTGCGGGCTACTGGGATGGGCTGGAGTCAAACCTAGAGACTGCCTGCAGTGGACCGCAGACCACAACTGTGCTAGTAGGAGACTTCAACGTAAACTTTAATGATGCCCATGCTGTGACTCCTTTGCATCATGTACTCAACCAGTTTAACCTTCGCAACCACGTCACATCTCCTACCCGAGTTACCAGCAGTACTGCCACACTACTGGTTCTATTCTTGTCTACCACCCCGATCCAGGGTGTTTGCGAGACCATACATTTGGATATCAGTGACCACTCTGCAATACTTGCCAGGCTGCCAATTTCAGCAAGTCACCACTTGAAGGGACAGCATCTGCGCAAGACTCGCTGTTTGCACAAAGTGGATTGGAATATGTTTACATGTGACCTGGAGAAGACGCTAACTACCTGTGACTCTGTCTGTGTGGATGTGCTTGCGTCGTCACTCACTGCGGGAATCCAGACCACTCTAGACAAACATGCTCCACTTCGGGAACGGCGCCGCAAATCTCGACGTCCTTGCCCCTGGATTACAGATGAGTTAGTGGCAAGTGTTCGTGAACGGAACCGGGCGCATCGTCTCTGGCTCCGAGACAAAACCGATCAGAACCTTCAAGAAGCACACCGATCAGCTCGCTCCAAAGCACGGAAGTTGGACAGGAGTCTGCGCAACTTGTACTTCACTAAGAGATGTGATACATCTGATCAACGGCAACTTTGGGCTGTCATGAACGATGTCACAGGCCGACAGAAGACACGGAAAGAACCTGAAGCGCCGCTTGAGTCACTCAGTAAATTGTTTGGAGACATTGTGCATGACCCTATGCGGCCACCTGAGCTGCATATACCACATGGTCCAGCCTCTGCATCTAGCTTCTCAACATTTCAGCCGGTAAGCGTGTCTGATGTTGCACAATGCTTGCAAACTGTGAGTCCTCACAAAGCATCTGGGAGTGACAACATTCCTGGAATTGTACTGCAGCAGTGT